TATTTTCTCAAAGGTAGCCGCGCGGAGGTTTGATATTACTCGAGAATTGTGTGGCATTCGGAGAACAATAGCGTCTCAACGTCTCTAATGTGCGCGGTAATTTATGATGTTATGCATTTATATGCGATACCGGGCTGACCGCGGACTAGACGGCAGAAATGATAGAAGCGACGATCTGTTGCGGAGTAACAATTAATTTAAAATTTATCGATAGATTCGCGAGGGTTATGAAATCGCATTTTCGTCGGTCGGAAAAGCGGATGATTTCCGGGCTTTACTCGGATAAACCGAAATCAATGGATTCAAATGCCGATCTGTAATATCGGCGCCCACGTGGCGTACGCTCCAAGCAGAATTCCAATTTCCTCGGGCGTCGGACAATTAAATTACAATCGGCAAACACGATAAGCACGATGGTTCCGATCAGAATGGATGTTGCGGGGTAGCATCGTTTAAATCAAAATGTCCGACTCTTTTTTTCGAAAAAAAGGGCGCAAATAAAAACACTGTCCCACGCCATTCGTCGATGTAGATCAATACTCCTCGTATCGTAGAAATTAAATCTTGTTACGTCGGAGATACCGCGCCCGTTAATAGTTTCATGCATAAATAATGCCATAATTGCCGCTGTAACGCTGCAGGAGTTGTGCACTTTTTTTTTCGGTACGAAGAGAATCGTAAATATTTAACAAATTTTCTGAATAAACTCTTTTCCCTATACTGGATTTCTCGTTAAAAATCGTTTAGTGAAGAGTGCGAAAGAGCGATAAAAACACGTTTCGAAAGACAATTTTCTAAAACCAACATTTAGTTATTTGCGAGCGTACATTCATCTCTTGCACGTAATCGAAACAAACAGTATCTTCGCCCGGTTTCTCTACTATCCGGATTAGAAGAGCGTAACGTAATACGACAGTGGGACGCGAAGTTAATGATCGTATCCGCGTCAATTGCTACTTTTTGCACAACAAATCTACGTTCCCAGGCACCGTTTTCCATTTCCACCCTCTCATTAGATATTTTCTTGAAAACATATTCACTCTCAAGATCGCGATGAAAAAGGGATAACGAAATTTGACGCGCGCGGGCGCGGAATTAAAAAAGGGCAAAGTTTTTCGCGATTGTACGACAATTACCGGCAATTGTTCCCGGCTCAGCGGCGGGGCGCCCCTATTTCCCAGCAAGATTTTTAACAGCGGCAATAGCGACGGCCACCTTTACGTAATTCCGTTTCCGAGTTTGCAGGTGGCTTAATTTTTGCCGTAACACGTCTGTCGTTGCGCGCGCTCCGCTCCGGTGCGTCCCGCGGAGATACGGCACGGATTTTTCTCGTTGCTGATTTTAATAACAGATTGCTACTGGAGGCAAGGGAGGGAAACGCAGGGATGTTAGCGCCGGAACCCGGGGGACAAGGAAAGGAAGGAAAGCGAAAGAGAGAGGAGGATCGCGCCTGAGTCACTGCTTATACGTGACTACGGCGACGACGACGACGGCGGGCGTCGTCGCCCGCCGCCGCCACCACCTCTCCGCCACCCCTTTTGCCACCTCGATATAACCCCCGTCCCGCATTCTCTGCAATGTTTCGCCGTTACATTCTCTGCAAATGCGATACCTATATCCACCTACACGAACGGCGGACACGTTCGAATAAATTAAAACGATTCTTTCCGTGACCTGCAACCTCATTTCGCCCTCCGTCGTCTGACGGGGGGCCATCTTCGGCGACGGTAAGGACGATAAATAAAATTAGCACGACCCGTGACGGATCGCACCCGTGCTTCTGTACTACGTGTACTTGCGTGTGAATAGTTTATCGCGTCCCGTTTATTGCAAATAGATCGAGCCATTTGTCGCGCCGGTCGAGCTCCGCGAACGAAATGTATTGTGATAAACGGCCATTGTCTCTTCGTAAGGAATGTGTTTAAATACAAAAGCACATATATTAATAAAACTATATGTCAAGTTGTTTATATACATATATAAAACGGTAACAATTCGGGAACGCAGCAAAATAGATTATTTGTTTATACCAACTATTGTTGTAGCTCAGCAACGCTGAATTCATTTCTAAAGCATGTTTCGCATATTAAAAAAGTTACGCACTGCACAATAAAAGTGAATACTGCATAGTTGCGCTTTCTCTAATTAGTAAACTCAAAAAATTAAATAACTCGAATGGGTGGGGGGGGGGGAACGTTAAACCAAATAAACTAAATAAAGTTGGAAATCAAGTTTTTTAAGCATTATCGCGATTCAATTTAGTTTATACCGAAAGTTCTTCGGCACACAAGCGACCTCAATTAGAGTTATTTGGTACTTTGTGACCGAATTTAAAAAAAAAAAATCGGAGGTTGAACGTTTCTGGAACTTTATTCAAAAATTCTAGTTTACACACTCGCGTTTCTTAATGGAAATTTATGCAGAACGCGCTACACGTAATTTCAGCTTTCTCCCCTTCATCAACAAGTCCGTCTGTCCGAGTCGGAAATGGTGACTTTATCATCCTAAATTCGCGCTAACTAATGAGAGACGAAAATTATATTCTTTAGCAGGACGTTATTTTGCCGGAAATGATATTCTTTGACGAGACACGCATATCGTTTCGCATACTCAAAAATTGAAGTACAGACGTAAAAGTGAACCCTCTACGTCTACATCTACGTCATTATAATGGCCATAGAGGACTGGTTAATGTTAAAATCGCGAGGAACGCTGAAAAATTGCATGACACAAAATATAAACATTTCCCCGGCGAACGGTGAAAATGCGCAAGATTAAAAAGTCAAAGTTTTTAAAATTAGAGCTATTGTTGGAATAAAAATCAAATCCGTCAACGGTATATTTGCGAACGTGTCATAATTTTGTCAGTTTGCAAGCATAATGCGCGTGGATAAAATATCTAAATATAAATAAGCACATATATGTCCACAAATATCAACACTTGCAGAATATTAATAATGGTAGGCAACGATACAATGTTTGCTTTTTCGTTAACTGTATTAATGGATGCAACAAGGGAGTTCAATTGTGTTTGCTGAAATTACATTCGCCGGCAAACAAATGCGACACTGCGATCGTATTGGCGTTTCCACGTATTCGAGGATGAAAATATTTCGCGAGACGTTTGCAGACGTGGCGACAATATGTTTCGCTTTATAATTATCGTATCACAATATCGTCACCTTGTGTACGTCACGTTGCCGACGCACCAAGTTACGAGGGATGAAACAGCAGGTGACAGCAGGCTGGCTGAGATGAAAAGCGTATACAACACTTTTTCAGGCCGTAAACTTGTAATGTCATCAAACCGAGTATCGCCGGTAGATGCTTGTAATCTGTCTGACCATTTAATTAATCTTCCCCTGAACACGTAAAAACGCGCCAAGTGTTACCGCCGGCATTCCAGCTGCAGCACTCGCGTTCTTTCCATCTAAAAATGTGTCACCACGGTATCGTCTAGTAATCATCGCGAAGGCGCCATCGATTTCTCTACGTATACCAGCATATAAATTGTAATATATACATGCCGTTTGAAATATTCTCACACTAAAACAGTCCCATCGGAATTTATATCTCTCGGTAATATCTTGTATATCGCGACGGCAAAATGAAAAAAAAAGTTATACAGCTTTTTTTTTAAAAAAAAAGGAAAATTTCATATCGCAAGTGAAATGTAAAAATTCACCTTGCAAAATATTAACCTGGCACATACGATCGATTCCTCGTTACTGCTGAAATTCGTACTCATGTTATTGACCATTGAAATATTCTGCCGTGATACGCAAACAAGTAATAATATGAAATGGCCGCGGGTCAATGAAAGAGCTAATATTAAAGGTGTTTCTTTTGAATGAATGAGAACGATTGAAACGAGAAATTGGACAAAATTGTGTATCGTTCGATGGAAACTATACATTACATTTCGCAATAAGTGCTATACATGTCGTTTTACAGTATATTTTCAAATTTTGCAAATATTAGCCACTAATCTTTGACGCCGACCGTTGGAACAAATCCGTTGAAAAGCAAAAGCGTAATGAGATATTGATCATTCTCGTGCATAATGATTCTGTATAAATTTAATAAATAAGGTAATCCATTATAATGATGCAAATTGATCGCTTCCCTCTCGCTCTCTTCCTGCAACTGTTTCTAAAGTTGCTTGCATTAACATAAAGAAGATACAAAACTGAAATTCTTAATGTTCCGGAACATCCTAATTTTGCGTCGGTTCCAGTATTTAAATTGTACAAGTTTATTCACCGCGCCGTTACGTCCAAGTTTTCGCGAAAAATACAGCGCGTCTGGAGGCAAACACATTTGTTAAGTGTACGTATTGTGGAACAGCGTTGACCGGTTTGGTTTCTGCCAATTTCTTACATAATTTCTCGTCGACGGCGATGAGATGTACACAATCGCGGACAAAACTATTGCATTACTCGATCGTAATTTGACTTGAAAAGAGCCCGAGGTAATAACTCGTTGACAAAAGGCTTTGCCGGTTACACGGTCGCAAATAGAATTAAAGGACGCCTAAAAGGATAATCCGCGGCGTATCCGCGTCGAGAACCGCGGTAAATACATCTGCCTCTTTGGAGCAACGTCCCGAATCATAATTGCTACGTATCTCTTTCTGGCGCGGCTGAATTAATTAGTTTTAGTTTAATTATATGGATAAATCATCATTCCGTCTTCTCATCCGTTCCCGCAAGATCTCCCGTATGCCGCTCCGGATTGGCTTAGATCTTACGTGAAAACTCGAGGGAGCCGTCTTAAGAATACGAAGATTATGTTTTGCATAAGCTCCGACAAACTTCCGCCCTCATCGCTCTACACTCGCTCGCTTTGTAGTCGACTTAAAAGGCGGATGCAATTTTACTTTACGGATAATTAATAATTAAATATCGCGGAGCTTTCAAAGGTAGCGCAATACGGCACGGGATTGTAATCGTCCTTTCTCCATTGGGTATCACGTAATGCGCGTGTTTCATTTTCCTTTTATACTCGTCTTCAGGAATGAGTTAAGAAATTGAAACGCGCATCGTCTTGGTAATTTTTGCATCTGTAATCGATCCACAGAGGTTTCTACGTGGCTTTCAACGCGGGGGAATACGAGCGGGAACCCGTAGACGCGAAAGAAAGGCATAAAGAGCGATCCACTTCGAGACGTATCAACAGATACACGAACGGACCCTACAGCGGATACGGAAACGGAAGCAAAACGAGTGTCGTGGTGAGGGGAAACCATGTCACAGAGGAGCTACGAGGAGGAGAGGCACGTGCCCGGTATTTAGGAGAGGCAGTAACGTAACAATAGGCAAGTACAGGGGTGGAAACGGTAATGGTGTGTCGCGGTTCGCCCGAGCTTACTTTTATGTCTCACCAGGGAACCACCGCCGTCTCTCTTTCTCTTCTCTTTCCCTCTGTATCGTCCCCCTTGACACGCGCACTCACACATGATCGTGACTTTCAACGCCCCTTTGGCTGCCTTTCTACCGTTGCCGTCTCTCATTCTGTCTCCGTCTTTATCTCTTTCTCCCTCCCGTGCTTTCGTTCACTTGCACGCTTATTTTAGCGCAGCGGGAAGCAGCCTAGAGGCAAGAGAAGGAGAGCGAGAGAGGAGGTGAGAGACTCGGTAAAGCCCGCTTTGTCGTCGGTTTCCTTTCTGTGTTATTAAATTGTATGTGTTGAACCCCTTTCTCCGAGCGGCGTATTGTACCGACGTAGTGCAATGCCGCAGTTGCCACTTAGAGGCTACCTCACAGCTGCACCAGTCTATAACTTATTTGTCGGCAGGTACCTTTACTCTCCCGAGAAATCTGGTTGCCCGAAAATCTGGTTATGCGATCTTTCTCGGATCTTTTCTTTCTACCGTCTTATTTTTTCCCATCGATATAGCGTCATTTTTTTTAACGAACGTACTATTATTTTACTCCATATTATTCGAATGTATGACAAAATTATTCAAGACCTTTTTTTTACGCAAATCAATGCTTAATGATTACCGAAATAAGCTCTAATACATTAAATGAAAAGAAAATACTTTCGCGAATGTACATATAAAAGATGAATAAATTTACAAGAACTCGTCAGAGGAGACGCGGCAGGAGAGATTGATGCTTTGTGATTATATCCATATACAGAAAAACTCCTAAACCCTTTAGTTCAAATTTTGAGTATCGCGTGCCATTGGCTTTACTCTACTCTGCGAAAAATATAGGCTACCATAAAACCTAGACCTTCCTCCACTTCATTTCATCCCCTTAAATGCATTTGTAAATTATAAATTACGAATTAATTTTCACGTTTTTACAAATGTCAATGTTCTACAAAGGGAAATTTTTTTGAAAAAGTCGACCAGACTGGCAAAAAGTGATCTTTATTTAAGTCACAACGTTTCGACCTCTTTATCGGGTCTTTGTCAAGTACAATCTAATGTCGACTAAAAAAGTTAATTTATGCCGAAACAGAATGAGTTCACGAGTCCGTGGCAGCAAATTCATAATGTCATATGTCTCGGTAGTTAGTGGATTTTAATAGCGATGTCAATTTTTAACATTTCCGAGCAGCAACCGTACGTTAGGGGATCTCGAATAAAACCACTCGTGAACTCATTCTATTTCGGCATAAATTAATTTTGTCAGTCAACATTAGATTGTACTTGATAAAGACCCGATAAAGAGGTCGAAACGTTGTGACTTCAATAAAAATCACTTTATTTGCCAGTCTGGTCGACTTAAAAAAAAATGTTTCCTTTATTTAATTACCACTGGCGAAAATACGCTTCACACAGCTTTGTTAATGTTCTAGATAGAGAAAGCTCGGACAACGACGGTTAGTTTAAACCGGTTGTACTGGTTATAATCGCGATTTTTCTCCGAAAGTGTAAGAATGGTGCGTTTGATGATCTTTGATAGATCACCGATAGGCGATTTGATAGACATAGAATGTACTTACAGTCCACCGACACTTTGATCTGCTTGCTAACCGTGGGTGGTATACCGTTGCTGGCGATGCACAAATATGCGCCCATGTCCAATCGCGAAATCCGCGCCATTTCCAGCGTTTCGCCCTCCCATTCTGACACTGAAACAGCAGCCGTTCAACATTCATTACTTAACAATCGACTGCAGTTAATTATATCTTATTCTCGCGGTTATGTATTTTTAATTTTTTTATATTTTTAAAAGAAGATTAGTGTACGATCGTTTGGGTCTACCAAAGTCTCGCCATCAAATTACGTTTGATACGCACCAGATAAAGTTTTGTTGATCGAGATCTTGGAACCGTCGTCTCGTTTCCAACGAATGCTAGGCGTCGGACTTCCGGTCGCCTTGCAGGTAAGACTCACATTGGCGCCCTCGCGAACGATCGCGTCCGACGAACTCTGCGAATCGTCAATATTCGGCGGCACTGTAACAACAAACATAGACAGTTTTATTAGCTACACCCTCAGAAAGGACTTCTACTGCTGAGACAAAAAATATTCTCGACGCATTTATATATTTCTTACCTCATTTAGTATAAAAATAAGACGATATCAAAATAAAATCAGTAATTCTTATTCTCCTCTATCGAATTAAAAAAGATTGGCTTACTATATTGAGACAAGAGTAACTTATATAAATATAAGTTTATGTATTCTTGCGTTTAGAATAAATTTGTCCTCCATCTTACAACGCACGAAGTTGGCAAAAGATACACACTATCATTTTATTCTAGTCTACATTTTACAATTTTTCATTTAAGATTAAAATATTCCTTTCTCTACATATAATAAATATGGTTGGCGCTATGTCGATCCTATTTTATGATACATTGAAGTGTAATAGCATTGGATCCGGAAATTTTTTCTGTGGGTGTACCGACAATACAAAATTTCATAGAATAGGAAATAAAAATCAAACCCAAGCCTGACACGGTATGTGCCATTATTTATTAAAAATTAAGCGAGTATAATATTGAGCAGAAATGGCTAACTCTTTTTTTACGTAATATACGCATATATGTATATTACAATATCATGCACATAGACACATATACTTGTGTCCAATGAATTTGCGCTCTCTCTCTCTATCTTTCTCTACATATAAGATAAATATGTAACAGAAACTCGCTTTTTGATTGCATAAAGGGATAAAATGTATAAATCAAAGCCACAGTACAGTGATCGATTATTGATAACTCTTTATTGTACCACGACAGCGATATCATTGCGCATTTCACATTTGTGTATATTGACCACGTCGTCACTGCTCTTGAATTAAACGGCCAGCCACGTGTGCGTGCGTGCGTGCGCGAGAGGCGTATAATTCAATTATAGTGTCGTCGTGGTAACGAATAATATTAGTATATGGACATACGTCGTCTGCAACGTCGACGTTGATCAACCCGGAAATGCAAGTAGTTAGGATCGGTTGACATGTTTAAATGGACAAATATCGCGCTGCTTATATGCAAATATGACGCACCAGCCGAATTACTCATCTTCCTCGCATATTAATTAATCAATCAATTTGTGGCGATCGTACTGACGACAAAAAAAAACTCACGTCGCTTCAATGTGTTCAACGTTTTCCGTTGTCATTACAAGATGATATATCGCTCGATATCAAGTGTCTAATCAACTTTCTAACTTTCCGCAGTTGAGTGGTAACTTGCAGTTTTTAAGATTACATATGATTTATCATGCATTTCATATAAATAAAATGCATATTTTAAAACAATCCTATGAAACAGTAACTTTGCATTTATCATACGTGTCACTAATTTGTCTTTTATCAACGACATTTAAATGTCGCTTATAACTAATTCTTCTCAGTTATGATCCTGACAAAATTTATTTCCATATTGTGGACGTATAATATAATTCAATATTCAAAATAAAAATGTCCAGTACATTAATACAATAATTAAGCGATTCAATTTAATTATATTATACTGCAATAATATTGACTCATTCGAGTGAGATCGCTCGAAGAATAAGACTGTCCGCTCTTTGGCCCAATAGAGAAGTCGAACAAATCTAGAGCGGTGTTATAAATTATAAATTATGAAATTAGGGCAAACTGTTAAAATTATAATATGAAATCTCGGACAAAAGGAAACTTTCTCTTATTAGACTTAAACTTCAAAATGCACAGATCCCAAGAATGGAAACGTGCGAGCGAAAACAAAACAAAAAAAACAAGACTTAGAACAATTGTCAGAGTGACAGTTTTCACTGATATGTGCTGAAATAGCACTTAACTAATTTATATTGTGCTACAAGTGAGAAATTACTTATGGACTGTATGTATCTATAAATTTTCTCTTCTATTCGTGTCTTACAATCTGTAATACTGAATATTCGAAACGTCTTCAATTATTTCTGATATCGCGGATCAGATCTTTGAAATAATTCAGGTCATTATATTATTGAATCTTATAAGCGGTTCAACGTGTATTATAATAGAATATATAATATATTCAAAAAGAGAGAGAGAGAGAGGAAATTAAAAGTTGCAACAATAGACTGCTTCCGACCGTATGAGATAAAAAAAGATATTTTATATAACTTTTATATAAATGAAAATAATATAATTGAATAGTCGCTTTGTTCTAACCATGCTCGATAATCAAAATTAATTCAAGTAGAATATGTATGATGTGTGCAATGTACAATAAACTCGCATACATCTCGATACGTCACGTTTCTCCTGCACGGTTCCTTACGTGTTTTTCTAACGTGTGATCATTGTAAGAGAAATTTTCACGTCGTTCAGTATAATTTACATTGAGCTAACTAAAAACGAGCTCGTCTTTTTTTTTCACAAAATATCAAGAGTGTAAGGCCAATACTAATACGAGCAATTGATTGTCAATAAAACACAAAAAAATTCAGTTTTAAGAAGAGTTAAAGCCTTGTATTACAATATTTGGTATTATACCATTTTTCAGTTACCTAACTTATAATATACGTTTCTACGTAGAAAGTTAGCTAATCAGAGATTTAAGAAATCTCGCTACTATTCATGTTACTGTTATAAGTTGCGTAACTGAAAAATTGTATAATACTAAATAATATAATACAAGTAGCTTTAACTCTTCTTAAAACTAAATTTTTTTATGTTTTATTGATAATCAATTGCTCGTATTATTATTGGCCTTATACACAGAGAGAAAAGTTTCTTTGGATTTAGTATTTCTATTTATTTGGTTGAAATTTGTTTCATTAAAACAATATATGCTTATACGAAACATTATATGTTTTGAATAAAAATTTTGTTGTTTTATTCAAACAACCTGTATTATTTGATAGAAAAAACACTATTATTTGAAGTAATATCTTTCAATGAAATAATTGTATTATTTGGCCAGGCGCTTATAAAGTTTGGTGCTGCCACTAGATGGCCGCCGAACTCGTAAGTAAAATCGCGGCAGCTATGATATATGAGCGACCGCATCAGCAGACGCAGTTTAATCGTTTAATGTCTATTTTTTATTATGGCTGAACATAGTGTACTAATTCAGTGTTTATCTTTCTTCTTTTAATGAAGGGAAAATTCTAATGTAGAGGGAGAAAGATGTATGCATATACATTTGTTTCACATATTTTCTATCAAACGATAATGTTGTTTGAATGAAACAATAATATCGTTTAGATTAAAGAGACTATTCCTTTCGTTTCAAACAAATATTTTATTTCTGACAAAGATATATATTATTTCAAATTCAAACAATCGTACTTGTTAATTCAAACATTGATTTGTTTCGACCATTTCAAATATCAAATTTGTTTGGAACAAAATTTATTAAATCCAAAGAAATCGTTTTCTCTGTGTACTCTTGATATTTCATAATTTACATTGTTATAACAACCAATTGGATATAATGGCCCAATAATTTTTGAACAGAATCGATGTTTCTTTCCTACAAGATTCGTGTACAACGCACGCGCAGGAGTAATCATTAATGATCTCACTAGAGACACCTGATATCTCGCGGCCTCTCTAACTCTTACAACCGATCTTCGAACGAGAAGAAAATCCCGCCTCTTTGTTCGCCCCGATAGCCGCGTGGTCACTGCATGCGAGGGAACGCGGCCAATCCTATGAATTACCGCAGGTGTCCGCCGATATCCTGCATTAATGCTAATGCGGGGTGTTACCGAATTGTTGAACAAGGGCAGATTGAACGCGCGCGGGGGAGGAGGAGGGGCGCGGGCCGCCCTCACTCTCTCTCGCCATTCTCCACGCCGTTATACTGCAGTCGCGTAACGGTCTGTTGATGCATTATTCAAGCGCAAACGCCGCCTCTGCCGCGCGCGTGTTGCCGCGCTGTTGTGCGTTAACTTGTCCTAAACTCCGGCAGCACAACGTTCGGGAGACGTCGGAGGAGAGATCGCTCGACGATGCTCGCCGGAGTCGAGGAGTCTTGAAGGTAAACGCGCGGGCAACCACCCCCCTGTGATATTTCGAACGTGCACAAAAATATGCGTTATGCGCATCTCACGCATCTAAATATTCAAATATTGACAATTCCGAACGGGACGCCGCGCGCTTTTTCGCCGGGCTCGCCGGCATCCCTTTCGGGGATCTACCCGCAGCGAAATAGGGATGGCCGCCCTTTCGGGAAAAATAGGCAGCCGGTCTCGACTCTTCGGTTCTTTTTAACAAGCGACGAATTCGCGGGACCCCCGTTTATTAGTGCTGCGTTGGTGAAATTGACGACGGTGACAATTTCAAAAGTGCAAACCGGTTACTTTCCGCGCCGTGCGGGAAAAACGTAATAACAATAGTAGATGAGCTCGACCGTCATAAATGAATCCAGCACGGCAGGCCTTTCTATGCGATTTAAAACACGTTGTCGTCATATTCCTGTAATCCTAAAATGTTGTTCCGGCGGGGTATTGTGATTAACATTCAAAAGAGAGAATTATACTGGGATGATTATTGAGCTTCATCGTGAATGAAGTCATTGTAAGCTGTAGATTGCTAATTATAGTATGCCCTTAGGGAATCTAATGTCATGTTCATATCGTATCCTACAATATACATTATGATACGCCTCTTGACTGATGTAAGCCGCATAGTTTATGCGCTTCGTAACTTCATTCACGGAGAACATAACGTAAGATTTAATTACAGGATACATTTACGATCAACAAACGCTTTTTCTTCTTATAAACAAGCGCGCAACAAATATTATAATTGTTTATCTCAAGACGTTCATTCGAAAATGTGCAAAAGTATGAGAAAGTATTTAAAATAAAACGTGTTTTCAAAGAGAGAAATGGATTAAAAACTATTTTAATTGTATGCCTCAAGACACTCATCGAAAAGTGTACAAGTATGAGAAAGTATTTAAAGTAAAACGTGTTTTCAACGAGAAATATTTTTAAAAATATGTCATTAGTTTCGAAAGTAAACAGGTTATTTTATTTGTCTCAGAAAATGCGGTCTTAAAATACGAAAGATTTTCGTTGCCCCCTGTGGCCACTGAGGAAATGGTTCGTATTAATTTACGTGTGTCACCTAGATATAACATAAAGAATTAAGAAATTGTTTGTGTTAGCAACTGTCAAAGACAGAGCGAAACTGTTTCAGTTGTGCCGCGACTTCTTTGCTGATTAAGTAGGCCAACTCGCTTCTAAATCAAATAAAAGTAGTCTAAGCTTCTGATTTATTTAGGGGGACGGTGGACAACCGCGCGCAAGCGACAGATGGAAAAATCGAGAAAGAGGTCCAATAACTAAATAGGGCGGGAACAAGCAGCGTATAATATCCGATATACGTTCACCTGGTCACGAAGTTAGCAAATGCTTGCTATGACGAGGAATATCGATATTTTAACGGCACGGAATTTTTGCGACATTTTAGTGACGCGAGATCAAACGCGAACCGTCTCTTTCTCAAATCCCGTCAATTCTTTTCTATTCATATAAAATTTATACATATGCATTAAACTGCGACGTGATTGGAAAGTTCATTTGCAAAGAATGTTTCGAGTTTATTGTTTTGTCGTGGGGAAAAAAAAGAATCGAAATCTGCATTTTTAAATCGCGCAGACGCAGACCCGTGTACGTTGCGGTAGGCCATCGCGCTACAATTAACCGTTAAAGCTGATGAACCGGCGAGTCCTACTTTTCTCCCGAAAAGTAATCCTTTAATCGAGCGGCCATTCCGCAAAATAAATCGGGCGATTATCCCGGTGCGGCAAATGTGGGGACAGATAATACCTAAATGCATTGGCGGAAGCTTGTTACGCGCGATGTAGTCATGGCAGATCGCCATTGTGTCGGCTCCATCGGCATTATCGCGAAGTGTCGAGAGAGCACCGCAAGGAGATCTTGCGTGTGTTTGTGCAACGGGAGAGCAAGAGTCCCGTGGAAACAATTAATCTAGCCCTCTGATTACTCCACACCGACGCATCCGTCGCCTCATCCCCCGGTATCGTTGCTCTCGCTTCAACGGTAGCTTGCACAGCCGAGACGTCAAAACTCGAGATATTAATATGTTCTCTCGGCTGGCGGAAGGATGGCGACCATCTCGAGATCTTATTGATATTCCCTCTTCTGATTAAATTATTACAGCTCTGTTGTGCTTTTCCATGCACAATTAGCGGAACGGGGGATACTTTCGCTCTCTAAGCATAAATCTGTTTAGACGGCTGCGATAAAATGCTTATGCTCCGCTACAAACTTCGTGACTCCGGTAAACTGACTCCATTACGCGAAATGAGATTTATTCCAAGTATCTAATGGATTCACAGTACGATACGATAAGGTCGTAAATAACAATCGACCGTGGCATGTTCTCTGCTAATGGCGCAGCAGAATTAACGTAAAACGTATGAGAATAGTTCTTTTCTCGAAAATAATAAAATAGAGTGTACGAGCGAGAAAGCGAAATTCGTGCGTCGTTTTTGTTCTCTTAAAAAAAAATTATTATTTCTTGTGAAGAAATTTATATATACATGTAGGAAATGTAGATTTTTTCAATCAAATAATCTCAGCAAAGAATCAATTTTAAGCTTCAAATTTTAGCCTTATTATAAATAAGTTAAAATTTTTATATATGAAAGAATAAGCTATATTGTAAACATTACGCGTGTATATTAATACATTGCAAAATTACCTTAACAGATATCAAGTATTTAACACCGTAAAAATGACATTGCAAGAAATGTGGTTTAATCAAAAGTAGATATTCTTCCTTGATCGAATTATTATCACTTTTAAGTCCAAAAAAGAAAGAAAGAAACGAGATCTTTTTCACTATTCATCCCTCGCTATTAATCCACGCAACACGATCTTTAACAAATTAATAATTACGTAGAAATTATATCAAAGTATAGAGTCAAAGTGGCTCGCATGTTTCTGCTCTTAGCGTTAACAAGCAACGTGAGAAAAGAAACGTTTTCCAAAAAATAATAATGCGAAATGACGCTGATAACGAAAATGCTGGAGATGCAACGTTAAAGGAGATTTTAGCATTATAGAAAAAGCGATATGTCGCATAAGCAGAGCGCCTTACCTACGACGTGTAGATAGCCATATTGCGTTTTGGCGGCGGCAGTGTTAATCTGGCACATGTACTTTCCCTTGTCCTCCTCGTGCACGTCGTTGATATGTAGGAACCAGGTCCTGTGCTTATCGTGCGACACGGATATTCTGGGGTTCCTGGTAATAACGTGATTCTGTACCGTCAGGATAGCGCTCTTGTCGAAAAGCATCCAGGCCACCTGAAACGAGATGGATATCGTATTATACATCGTGAGCGCAGTTCGTATATCGATTACTACGAAGTTGCTGTCCGTTCTTCTAACGATATTCCGCAATATCATTCCCATTAAAAGTTATACCTTACGGTATTTATAAAACGCGTTACTGCCCGCCTTACTTTCTCATTTAACGTTTAGATCGCGAATAAAGATCCCTCAACTACCGCGGGCACGGTAGATCGTAAGGATAGGTACATGTATATCTTTTTAGTTGCGCTAGAATTCAAGGAGGGTGTGGAGAGAATAAAGATGTATAGTAACGATATAAAGGAAGGGAAAGAACAAGGAAATATAGGAATGAGATTCGCGAACGAGACGGATGATCAATGATGCTTTCAAGCATGGAGTGATCTACAAACCTACTATGGTTATAGATATTCACCAGTGGGATAAATCGCTCCGGGACTTCGAGGGCATATGTACTAACGTGCAATGTATATATATACATATACATACATACATACGTATATATATATCGCGCGTTGTGATATGCGCTTGATGTTTTATACGAGCAAAGTTTTCCGAGAGCACGCGATGACGCTGTGCAGACGAGTAAAAACTGGTCCCCGTAGAGAGAGCCCAACCCGGCCATTTCTCTCGTTAAATGACCGCTTATTGAGATTCCGAATGGTTGCATTCTGCATACCTGGGTGAATAGCGTCGATTGTTATTGTCGTTCGAAATATGTAAGTTTTCCATCCTCTCCGAGAAAGGGGAATGGAATAAGGAACCGGAGGCGGAGATAAGTAGAAAGTATCGCGACAACGGGATACGGAAGTGCTCTGAGATATTTAGCCGATTTTCCCATTCACGTCGAAGAAAGTGAAGGCCGAAGAAAGGTAACAAAGGGAACCGAGGGGGGTGGTAGGGAATAAAGAGAATTCTGATCTCTCATTCGCTCGCTGCGAAAAGTCCCTGGAGAAATAAGAAGGGCAGCGGAGTTCTTTCGCCCGAGCACGAGGGATGTTGCACTTCAACATAGCCGCTCCCTTTCACAATGTGCAAATGCGCTCTTGTACAGACAGGCTGTGTATTGCGCTATCGTGATAACTCTCGGCGTCGCGACGCTAATCCCTGATGTTCGCGAGAGGCTTGCACAGAGGTACGCGCGACGAAAGTAAAGGAGAACGGCTCGCAGAAAGTGTCGTAGTTCTTTTCTATTAAAAAAATCATCATCGGGATTATACTGTAATTAACAATACACACATCGGTAAATAGTTCTTTATGGGTACGTCATTTGTGGATAGATTTTCGAGACACAATTTCTGGAGAAACGAGAGAGGAGACTCAAAGTCTTGGCGGCAAAGCCCACATATACTCTCAAGTGGATTTACCTTTTACAATCGATTAACGCAATAGGGGAACCGAGTTCTTCTACGGCCGTAAATCTCGGCAAGCATAACTATTCGCTTCTGACTCGGAACTAAGATCGTTTCGCAGTCGTTTCTCGCGTCTTCCGACCGTAACCGAATTTTCGTCCACCATTTATCCAGTCGCTCTTGCCACCGGCGGCTGTCGGCGGTTATCTTCGTAGAGATATACGAATCTCGGCGGGGATTCCCGGCGTCGCGTCGGTGGGATTGCATGGATACCGAAAAACGCAGTTGACACTTTCATCATTTGCCTTTCCGCGGCAACGTATCAATTGTTTGAATTTCATGGTGACAATCTCGCGCTGTCATTTGTATTCAAATTTCTTCTCTCTCATTTTTTTTTAACGCAACTCAATCCGGTTTTATGTATTAAAATGTAATTCTTTTAGACACAATTTTTTTATAATAAAATAAAAATGTACAGTCGAATTGATTTTATAAAGAACCACGTGAAAAAATAAAATAGGATCTGCTTTGTACATAAATCATTGTTTGTATTGTATTAAGACAATCATCGCGCGATCATAAATTCGCTTCATTCGGAAAATTGACTGAAAATGAGGCAAGATTGTTTAATGCAACACTTATCGTACGTTTAGAAGAGTTTTCTCAACCTTGCAGCAATAACGTTCTCCTTCACAAATCCTCGGAGAAGATTTAAAGAAACTGAATTGTATAAGGTTGGACACCTATTTGTTTTTCAAGTAACAATAGAGTCCTTAGCTCGATTCGTTTGATCCTTCTCATTGGCATGCGGATAATCGAAGGAAATACTGTTGTTTCTTTATTATTTCCTTTGATTGTCATTTCTGATAGCAGGCGTTGAACCTGCTTTCTCTCGAGGCTCTTATTGCATTCAATAAACACACACACAAAAGAAGGGGAAAAATATTGCAGTACGCAATCAGTCATGAGACAGAGACCTTCCTTTATTAAAAGTGTAATTCTCAACGGCACCGTCGCAATCTCCAGGCGATGAGAAACAAATTTTTCTGCCTTTCATCGATTTCTGCTTCATCACTTACGGCGCGATCGCGACGATGTAAAATCGGTGTTCCGTTAAGTTTAAGATACGCAGGTGACACAAAGAGCTACGCGGGAAGCAAGTTGGAGTGACCACCCTTCCGACTCGCAGCTCGCTTTCCGATGCATCAACATGCAAGCCACACCAAAACTAAGATGGATGCGCGGGCGCGCGAGAGGGGTTTGCTCTAGGAGTTTGTTCCCCCAAGAGCCGTGGCACGAAGCATTGATTCCTCAGCGTGAGAGGAGAGTTACAGCTTTGTTTACTACGAGGGCGACGAGCTCAGCGCCGTCCAGTCTGGCTTGGCGCTGGCTATGCTGTCGGTGTCTTCTTTTCTACCACGTTCTCCTTTCCTGCCCCTCTCTTTCGACGGGTCCGTGACTCCCTTGCCTTCTCCCTTTTCCACCCCCTCGGAACGTCTGAACCGGGAGACCTATAGTTAACGTCAAGATCAACTCTCCTCGTCCTTTCCAACGTTCTTCTTCCACGCGAGTACTCCATGGTCCCCGCGTACGCAAACACATTCACCAGCTAGGCGGTTTATACAGAACCGTGGAAAGCGAAAGAGCGGCGTGGCTGAGCCAACCATCTCGCACACCCCCACCCGTCGACTCTCATCCCCTTAGCCATTGTGTATGTGGAAAGTTGGACCACATTCCGGCTGAATGTATTACAACCACTTAACCCGCAAGCTGTCGAGACCTTCAGACCGGAGAATCCATGCGGCGTATGAACCTCTACCGAGGCTGATAGTTCGCTTAATAGGCACATTAAGCGCACTGATGGTTAAGCTCCGGTGAAGCGATTACACAAGTGATACTTTTTACATACAGGGATATCATTGAAAGGTTCTTTTGTCGAGTCTGCCAAATCAAGTTCGAAACAAAATCACCACGAAATCGTATTGAAATTATTGTCACTGGCTTCGATGGATTCCTTTTTATTTAAAAAGGTTATTTCAATCTGTTTTTTTTTAAAAGCTCTCTGAAATTATAACTTTATTCAGCACAAAAAGTCTCTCGCTACAACTTAATATTATCCACAGTAATTCACGTTTGAGTTTATTTATAAACTTACAGAGAGTTAACCGCAGAAGGTGGCTCAACTTTCTTCCTCGAGACCCTGTTTTTCATTATTCCCCTTTGTTAATTTTATTGGACCAGGAGGATGCATTAACGTTTTGAATACTCACGTCGCATCACGGACACTTTGTTACTCCCGCGTACACAAATACACTTGTCTGGAGATTCGGAAAATATCCGAATAGAAATTTATACCGTGTAAAACAGCGAGAGAAGAGCCAGTTAAGTCAGTTAAGTTCGGCGAACTTTCGCCGTACCTCTCTGTATAAAATTGGCTCAGCGGCACTCAAACTGTCGAAAATTCGACCGTCCGACCCGTGTCCTCTCCCCTTGCAGCCTTGATTCAACAAATTGACCGCGATAAATTGTCTCCTGACGCACGGTCGTTTCGCGTCGGAATTAGACTTTCTCGCAGTTTCGTTTACGCGATAACAACGTGTGCCAGGTAGACGCGCAACTTATTAACGTAAGATCCCAATTTCTTGGTCCTTCCAATTAATGAACAGAGAGGTAATAGCGAGGTTTGGTATGCCGGAAGCTTCTTCATTAGTAGACCCTTCTTACCTCACGCTTATACCATGCCATGCAAGAACTTGGGACACCTTATAGATAAATGTATTAGGACCACTTATCCCACAAGCTGTCGGGTGCTCCGAGCTTGTAGACAACCTCTTAATTATCATGGAGCACTAAGCCATCGCGCAGGCCAGAAGTACGACAGTACTGCCACGAGTGCTAAAAGCACCTGGAAACTTGGCGTCAAAGACTGTAAATAGGTGAGATTATCTCGAACCGCGCCAAATTCGAACGGCACAAAGTTTCTCGTTCTACGATAAAAGAAATGTCTCTGTCATCTTAGATGATAAATGATCGATTAGCCATTTCCACCGTACGGTTGTCGACAAAAGATCGAATCGCCGTTTACACGCGGCGAACAGTGAGCAGAAAAATAAAGAAGAAGAATAAAGAAAAAAATATAATATCGATATTAGTCTTTAACTGAAGGGGAAACCGCTGACCAAAATCTTGCACACCAATGCCCACTAATGCCCAGTGTGCATTACTTTATCGTATTATCTTATTTTATCTTTAAAATGCTCCAGCAAGGCCTAATGCCCCAAAACTACCTAGGAATGTCCAGTAATGCCGCAAATATGTAGACCACAATGCCCTCAGCGGTTTTTCCCTCGTCTTTAACGTATAAAAATTCTTTGTTAATAACTCACTTTAATTCCACGACATTTTCTGTATTTAAAATAAGAAATATTTTGAGAAACAGAAAATGGAGAAAATGTGGGAAATCGAAATAAAATAAATAGATTGAATACTTCGTGCAAGTTTTGTGTGAAACGTCGGCTTAGGTGCAATGAAAAAAAATGCGAAGGATCAAACTGAAATAAATAGGCTCAATATTTCACCCAAGTTTTGTGTGAAACGTTGGATGCAACATTAACTACTGTGCACACACAATATCCACATTATACGCATTTTGATCTTAATCTGTCCAATTCTGTTATATCTTCGCTTGCAAAGTGTCGATGTATTCGCGGATATATACACAATTGTTCTAGAACGTATGTTACGGCAGATATAATATTTCAGCCACGTAGCGCCTCGCATTTTCATCAAACAACCGAGTGCCACGGCTGGATCATAACGACAGAGAACCGGATGCTGCTTCTTGTCAGCCGGGAAGACACCGCGCGGCAGCGAGAAGCATTGCGCTCGCCGCCCTCGCCGCCCTCCGCTTGTCAACACGTTCTTTCCAGCGGAGTTCGAGCGTTCCCTCCGGTTCCGCAGTGCCCGCCAGCGGAAACGCAGGGTGAGAGACGTGATTCAATTTAAAAATCATTCGCTAAGTGCTTGGGCTGAAATATCTTTTTTTATTCGAGAAAACACATCGCGCCGCACTTCTTCCGGTACGGCCATTTAGCTCGCCGCTTTAATTCACATTGTCCCGGCGTAGCCCCGGTCGCTCGTGAATCCCCTTCGACGTTTCGACGCCGAAATATGGACGGCCGCGCGAACCGCTCGCTGGCAACGGCCACCGAGTTGCGGTTTAATCGTCACGTAGTCCAACGATCTCGCATTACGTCTCGTTCACTTTGCGAAGGAAAACGGAAAAAATAGAATGCATGCCGCGACCAAGTGTGTTTGTCCACTCACCGGCGAGAGCGTGTTATCGAAAACGTTATTGCATTTAAAGAGAGCGAGCGAAAAAGTGTGGAAACAAATAAACGGGTGGCTGTGATACAGATAGGCAATCATTTTATTATTAGCCGACTTGAAATCGTCTTTATCATGTAATGCATTTTTGTACAGAACTAGGTCGTAGGATCGTCATTACGCCTAATTGTATCAGCTCGGCACTCGTACCTTCATGATTGTAATAGCGATTTAATCAAAAAACTCGGACAAAGTTTATCCCAATACATGGGTCAAGCTCTATTTTTCGCGATTCAACATCGATTATCGAGACAGAATTGTACACGAACATTATATCACAGAAAAAATAGATCTTCTCTACTCAAATTAATGCAGAGCAAATCATTGCTCTGTGTGTACGCAACAATCTATAATCTTTTTAAAAGCATTTAATAAATTTATATTCCAATAATATTACAGTCGTATTTAAATTAAAACTGTAATTGCCGCTTCAAGAATACTATATATTTATTCGGCCAATAAAATCATTTTAATCATTATAATCTTTGATTTTAAAATACTTTCTATTCACCATTGTTTCCTTTCCATTCAAAAAAATTATTCTTAAATGATAAGCATGTACTCTTATAAAATTGCTTGAAACCAAACATATTTTCGAAAGAAGAATATTCTTTTTTTCTATGTTGTGTTAATAGATTTTAAACCGTTTATCCGTAGGATAAAAATTATCATGTAAATATTACCTGGAAGTGACTCGAAAGGAGATTGCATGTTATTAAAAAGAAATAGTTAATTCAAGTGTATTCCGCCGAAAAGTAGAATAATCAATCTTATAAAAAATCTGATAAAAAATCTGATTTAAAGTCGAAGAATAAATAAATTAAGTGGTATAACATGAGGACTTACGGACCGCTATTTTCTCTTATGCCCAAAGTGATAACGTTAAGTGACACGTTTCTTGTATTGTTGTTTGATTGACGAAGTTTGCAATGTGCATTTGTCCGACATCTTTTTAAAATTGGATATATGCATTAGTGATTAACACATATTAAATTGATGATCAACATTTATCTGTTCACGTCTTTCATTTCACGTCTCAAGCATGTTAGCAGAAATGCAATTATAAATGGACGTATTTAGACATTTTGAAACGCTAACGTGATTATGTCAGCGATATAGACATTTTAAAACGCCAACATTATATTATGTCAGCGAGAATTAAATTTAATATTTTATGGGAGGAAAGTTTATTCTCGTTTCGATCGAAAAAAATATAAATATAAATATATATATCACAAGTTTATATTTATCATTATTTCCTTCACATTTCGGAGCGAAAAGATTTTAAATCCGGAAAAATGAGATTAAACGTTTTATGGCGATTTAATCTGATTTGTTGTAATCACTGATATTACACAATTTTATTTTTTTAATACGAATATGATACGACATAACAATAATAGATTTAGTCGCATAAATATTTTGTCGGTTAAAATAAAGATGCGACAGATTTTATTCTTCAACCCCGATAGAAAAATATTCAGCAAATTATGTGACGAAATCTGAATGAAACTTGGAATGGAATTATTATACAATATGTGAAACATTTTCCTTTCAAATTGAACAATTAATAAATCATTTTTACTGAAAAAGAGTTTAAATATATATGATATCTTAAGTTCGATTTAAAATTTAAACAATCTGTAATTTATATCAAGACTCAGGACAGAAATCTATCTACTATTTTAGTTTTATGTATATCATGTCATGTAACGTATGAAAATTATTTCATGGGGCTCAAAATATTATTTATATTAAAATCCATGTGTAAAAAATACACTATACAAAATTATAGATACAATTCTATAATTTCTGAAATCAGACAGAAATTATACATAAATTATTTGAGCTTAATACTTCACTCACTAAATGTAATATTATAACAAGTATATATTTCTTAATTTTATATATATATAGAGAGAGAGAGAGAGGGGAGGAAAGTCCCTTATTATGTGATAAGTTCCTAATATGATATATCGGGGATTTCTGCTAAATTAATAGGCAATATCTGTTGGTTCCATCGTGAATTTATCACCGTGAAATCTTCAATTCATTATTAGAATGTGCAATCGTTGCGCAAAAAAAGATTTGTGATGGAATTTCGATGTTGAAAATCTGCTCTATCTGATATTAGGCTGCGTTCAGAAACACCGCCCGAGTGCCCCAGCGTGTCATTCTATCCTTGTTGCTCACCGTATGTTAAACAAGAATCGAGGGGGAAACCGCTGACCAAAATCTTATACACCAATACCCATTAATGCCCAGCGAGCATTACCTTATCTTATTTATCTCGTTTTATCTTATTTTATCTTTATAATGCCAGCAAGGCCTAATGCCCAAGCTAATGCCCCAAAAATGCCTAGTAATGTCCAGTAATGCCACAAATCCGTACACCACAATGCCCTCAGCGATTTCCCCCTCGATAAGGATAAAATGATACACCGGGGCATTCTGGTAATGTTTCTGAACGTATTTTATCTTTATCATGCGCCAGCAAGGCCTAATGCCCAAGCTAATGCCCCAAAAATGCCTAGTAATGCCCAGTAATGCCGCAAATCCGTACACCACAATGCCCTCAGCGGTTTCCCCCTCGATAAGGCTAAAATGATACACCGGGGCATTCTGGTGATGTTTCTGAACGTATTTTATCTTTATAATGCGCCAGCAAGGCCTAATGCCCAAGCTAATGCCCAAAAATGCCCAGTAATGCCGCAAATCCGTACACCACAATGTCCTCAGCGGTTTCCCCCTCGACAAGGATAAAATGATACACCGAGGGCATTCGGGTGATGTTTCTGAAAACAACCTTAAAAGACTATCTCTTAATAGGAAACTTTCCTCTGTGTATATACCGAATGTCTGCGAACTCTTTCAACAGAATAGAACGGAGTCATTACCTCGTATGCGACGAACGAATCGACGAAGCGAAGCGCAGATAACGGCGCGCGACAAGAGGCGCGCGTTCGCCGCGGCAGACTTTGCGACGCGTAGATCCTGGCGGCGTGCGGCGCGCATACATCCGTAATACGCGGTGAATAATCCCGCGGCGGTGACGATCGAGGCTGACAGACACACACAACCCTCGACGCGTCGCGGCGTACTGCGCGCCGTCTGTTTACGCAAAGGTCGCCGCGTTAACATACGAGACTCGAAAGTGTAGGAGGGCGGTGGGGCGCGTCGCGGCGCGAGTCACGCGTCATCGTCCCGTTGGCCGCGCACAGCGGAAAGAGTTGCTCTCCAACTGTTGTCGAAATCTTGAATCGCATTGGCGTGTGGCTTTTAATTGCGGCCGATTCCAAGAGCGTACTCCAAATCAAATTTACGAATTTTACAACTGTTGCGACGTACCTTTTCCCGCTGAACGCGGCCATTATCACTTCGCGCCAACTGCCCGAGGGTGCAAACTCATAGAGCGGAACGGTGCACGCAGAAAATCGCGGAGCGAGTCTCGGCCAATCACGGGCGCTGATTTCGACGAGCGTGATTGGTCAAGGCTCTCGGTGCCCGCGATTTTCTGCGCGCACCGTTCCGCTCTATGAGTTCGTACCCTAAAGCCCGTATCAGACTACGGATTGAGATTGGGATTAGATTGAAATTTTACCAATCAGAGTAAAAGTTACTGCACTTGAGATTAGTAAATTTTACTGTGATTGGTTAAATTTCAATCTAATCCCAATCCCAATCCGTAGTCTGATACGGGCACAGTATAACCAGTAGTGGCACTCGCTCTTTTGTTTCACGTTCGCGCCGATCCGTACTGCGCATCCGACATGTTTTTATTCTGACCAATTACAGGATTTTTGTACGTGTGTTAGTGCAAAGTCGGTGTGACATTGAAAAATTCGCAGTGTTGACGAATAACGCGTAAATACTTTTATACGTTGGAGCAAGTAATTACATTAATTACTTTTATTAGAATATTTTTTTTCATAGGCCATTTCCATTTACAATAAATAATGTATGCCAGTTCGTATGCGCCTTTCCTGGATACGATCCTGAAAAGGGCCCAGGCACTTTTAGCCGTTGATACACTGTTGGCGCGAATAAAAACATGGCGGAAAATTGAGACCGCCCAGATCAAAGGTGCCGACAGAGAGTGCAACTACTGGTTATACTGTGATACGGGCTTAAGGACGACCGCGCATCGCGACGAAGCCGGGCCGACATTTCCAGCCTCTTTTTCGATCGAGATCTCGCGGACGTGGTGGACCGCACGTCGGGCGGCGTTGCGATGCGTTTAATCAGCAAGGTAGAGTCGTAATTAACCCCGTGTATTGACAGTCATTTAACCGCGTAGAGTAAATTCGATTGTTTGCACGGCGGGAATAATTTATTAAAGCGCGCATATCCCCGGCGAGGTTCCCTCGGCCGAAGCTCGACAAACGCGACGAACGTCGCGTCAACGGAGATATATTGTCTCGCGGGCAATTATCTATCATCTCGATTCGCGCGCGCGTGTTCGTTCTCTCGTTCGTATCGTGTGCGATACGAAGACTGCGCTCCAACGTTCACTGCCGGCGCTGAGGATCTACAGTGCGCGTGTACATTTTTAGCGCTGGCAGTGCATTTTGGAGCACAGAAGTAACAGGCACGTCCGAAACGCCAGGCGTGGCGTCGTGCCGACGTAGCGCGGCGGTGCTCGAGACGCGCCGAGGGAGATCGAGTTCTAGCCTCGGCATCAATTCTGTATCTTGCAATACAGCACATTATCGTGCGACAAATGTAAGGGACGGAGCGCGAAGCAACGTAATAGCTGACGTCACAGACGTAAAGCGTAAACGTAGATAGCGCACAAGCTTCGGCGTAAAAGTAACGTCGTGTGCGGTTGGAGGCGAGTACGGCATACGCCAAAGCTTGTGCGCGAGTCTACGTTTACGCTTGCGTCGTTGTCGTAAGCTATTACGTCTTTTTGTCTGCCAGGCCCGTGCACGCGTTTCCGCACGTTGCCGCAGCTCAACGCATCTACGGAGTCCTGGCTTTACTTTCCCCTCGTCGCGACGCGGAAAAGCGGAGTGCCGCGCGATTCTCGTAACTTTGGTGATCAGCACTGTCGCAATTAACCCGCGCTGTCGTGAGTGACGTGTGTACTTATGTGTGTGTACGGTGACGGACAGAATGGTAGAACGCGAGAGGTGATTCGGGCCGGACGGGCGTCGGGCAACGGCGGAGCAAACGTGGAGTAAATATGATAATTTACTTAATATTTCACGTAGTTTATTACTTTTTATTTATCATATTAACGGTCTATTCCCCTGCGACGATTGCATGTCGTATCCCGCGCCCGCATTCAGTACCAATCGTTGTCGAATATGTCTCGTAAAAAATATATTTAAGAGTTGTCTCGTTTAAGACGCCTGAAAACTTGATAAAACGTATTTCGTACTTATGCTGTTTATGTATTTTTACAGAGGAAAGTTCCCTATTGTGAAATATGCTCCTAATATGGGATAGAACTTCTGCTAAATTAATAGGCGTCACCTGTTGGTTCCACCATGAATTTATTGTCCTTAAATCCGTCTAGTGGAAAATTCATCGTTCGATTGTGCAATCGTTGCGGAAACAGGTTTGTGATTAAATTTGAATGTTGAAAACCTACTATCTCATGTTAAAAAGTCTATCCCGTAATAGCGGATTTTCCTCTATGAATAATATATTTTTGCAAATTACATTGTCGTTCCATTAAATATTAACTTGAAAAATAAATAAAATATGTGATCGATATTTATTTTTGATGTATTAATTATTTCGAGTAAAATATAATTTGGTATATTTGTATATGTTACAGATCAGCGTTTGTATTACAACTCCGCCACGCGTATCGGTGAGTAACGGATTACTTTTTTATTTTTACTTAAGCTAATGAATTTATGGAATGAATATCCTACATACGTAATTAAAAATTCGAATAATATATATGGCGTTACAATATTTTATAGATCCAATATTTCATAGATACATTATCTTAAAAATGTGGATGGGCTAAGACAGATTTGTGCAGATATTTCGAGAGGTAAACCGCTGAGGGCATTGTGGCGTATAGATTTGCGGAATTACTGGGCATTACTAGGCATTTTTTGTGCACGGAAAGGCCGGCTAAGGCAAAAATAACTAAAATCAAAATGGTGCGGCACAAATATTGAGGGCATCTACATTGTTTTGTGTCGCAACAATTACTAAGTTTGCTGCACAAGGCGCATGTGGTTGTCTCCACTGCTTATGGGTGTGACAACCATAGATACAGCTGTCCCAGATATTACTATTTATTGAGGTTGTGCAAACTCTAATTAGACATGTGGTAACCATATCGGTCTCTACGTGTGGGCATTAGTTTGGGCATTATAAAAATAAAATAAGACAAATGCCCACTGAGTACTAGTAGGCATTGGTAGACATGATTTTGGTCAGCGGTTTATTCCTCGAGACATTTAGGGTCAGTTTCACAAACGTAGGTTAATTGATTCTCTGTCTCTTCTTAGATAATAAGATGGAAAAAGATAAGGAGTTGAGACTGAACAGTTAATCGACGTTTGTGAAACTGGTCCTTAATCCTGAGACACTTAGCCATCCGTCAATTTATTGTTCATGGAAGAACGCGAGATTAAAGTAAAATTTATTAAACCGATGCTTTACTAGTCGGTTAAGAAATTTACATTTTGATGCTTCATTATACAAGAGAATGTTAATTAAAAATCGTTTGAAGTTTATAGAACATTTAAATTTGCAGACACATAAAAATTTTAGTATATAAGCAAAATTCGTTTTTAGAAATTGATAACAACGTGAGGCTACAATATACTAGTTAGGTGGTTAATTTTAGTATCACACACGTTATTAAACTGAGCTTCATACTTTTAGATAAATAACGAGAGGCAAAGGAAAACGAGAAAAAGTAAAATATATTGCCATTTCCGGTATATTCTATTGAAAATTGCACCTTAGTGGATTCAATTTTTAAATATTCCTGAGATTATTTATTTCATTTACCACAACGTCAAAGATGGCTCAAAGTAGAGCCGACACGAACGATTTATAATTTGTGTTAAATTATTAATCAAATGTTACATAACGTTAACTCACAACGCACAACTAACCACGTTTGTCTCTCGAAATCCACTTTTCCTTGTTACTCGTTAATTATATTGTCATTGTTAAAATACAAAGTTTATATTTAATTTCCTTTGTGGTGGTCACATTTTACAAACAATGAAGGTCGAAAGAAGAAATTCATATATTTTTGTATTTACTTACGTAAAATGAAAACAAAATCAATACATCTATACAGCAAATTGAAAACAAATATTCTACATTTAGGTATGCATATTTTCTTTTTTCTTTTATCTTCTTTCTATATGTATATCTTATCCATCCTAGATTTTTTTTTAATTAAAGTATCCGCGCGCTTAAGACCTCTCTATCTCCGGGATTAAATATTGCATAACAAAATAATAGGAAATAAATTCCAAGCACAAATAAAGAATAACAGGAAATATTTCAGCAATATACAATATTTTAATTTATTTATTTTTTAAAAGTCTGCTATTAATTTTACTTATTCTTACAACTTCTGTTAATCTTTTATAACCGATCCATCCATACTTATTGACAACATCAATATATATTTAAAATTCAGTAACAATTTTTAGAAACTTTTTATAAACTGCATCTCATGAAAAACTGTTGGATGATTACACATACAGTATTAGATATAAATATATTCAAATACTTTATATCAAAATCACTCCATATATTATATTTCCGAGGTATTACATTAAAAATAATTTTAATAGCGTTTTGCCGATAATAACGAGATTTTTAAATTGATATAAAATTTGATAAAGATGTATATTAAAAAAATGTATAAAATTTATACACGCTGACAATACTGATTCTACGTCCGCGCATCATTTACTTTGAATCTCACGTCATTTCTAACCGATATTTACTCTGACATATAGAACTTTGGTTGTCAGGATTAATTGACCAAGATTTGGTTTGTTTATCAGTTTATTGATTTTTAATCAGTTTATTGACTTATAACTCAATACTTTTGTCACATCATTATTGTTCTCCAGTTATCTCTTACTTTGTGTTTCTTAGACAAGCGATACGATAAAATCAATTGTGAAACAATGTTGGTTGCAGATAATATGTTTGCAATTAGTATTAAATTCTTATAGTTACACCAAAAATTTGTAAAAATGTAAATTTTGATACGGTATATTTGGGATATTTAGTAGACAATGATTTAATGGACTATGATCTCTTTGAAATGCTTTAATTTTATTTAGAATACAATATTAAAGCATATACGCATTTAATATATTATCATTTACTTGTATTTCGAATTTAACAAGTTAGTTGCTAATTTAATTAATCTGTTTTTAAAAGCAATTTAACATTAATACTATTTTCATGCAAGAGAATATTTAAGAACAAGTGGCACATTATAATATAAAAATCTAAGAAAAGAAACAGAGATGTGATAAAAGTTATTGATTCGGAAATAAAGTTTGAGTAGAAGTTCTATAGGCATATTAAATACAATAGAATAAAAATGCTCGATATGTGTTCAAATCCAAATCATGTAAGTATTTTGCAAATGCGATCAGTTATAGGAAGTTATAAGTGTATATTATTGTTGGACGATGATTTATTTTCTCGTCTAGTGCTTTTAGACAAAATTAAACAATCGAAAATACAAGTCTGAGGTCGGTATTCATAGTCCGTTCTTATATTTAAGACCATCTTAAGTACAGTCTTAATGTGTTGTAAACTAATCACAGAACCATATTAGCATCTTAAGAGATTACTTAAGACGATCTTGAAATAAGAATGAACTATAAATACTGGCCTGAGCCATCTCAAAACATGGAAATAAGTCCCCAAATTGAACGTTATACTAAATTCATTTTAATAATGACTTTAATATCTTCGTAAATGCTGCGTCGTGATTAAAAATACAAAAGTTGAAGTAACACGCTGGGCCAAAATAAAATCGTTTTGTAAAATCTATCGAACGGTCCCTTCATATCTAATGATCCTGTTCCAGAATATCCATATTGCAAAAAGAATATTAAATTAATACGGGAATATTCTTTCAATCGCTCACGCAATAGTTGTCCGTTTACAGAGATACAAACGTTATGGGTAGACATCGAGTAGAATCGTTGCGTTATTCCATAACGTCCCGACGTCTCCATTCGTAAGTTATGGGATTCCGAAGTGCAAGAGTGAATTCCGCCACTTGGAGCAAGATCAGCGGCTAACTTTCACGCACCATCGTAAATCCACTCTTGTACTTCGGAACTCCGTAACTCACGATCGGATCATCGGTATGATACATTATGGTGTGCCATCGGGATTCCCGCTATGATCTCTGGTCTATGACTTCTACCGAGCGCTAAAAATACGTGCTCCAAGAGAATGATATGTATTCGCCGGTCGCCGTCTCCAAAGTGCATTTTCTCACATTTGGTAGTGAAATGGAATAAAAAAAAAAGCAGAATTTTTGTAGCCACACCGTGAATCACGATATGGGAGAAAATTGTTTTTATTCGCGTGATCGGATACGGTCAAATCGATAAATTGCGATTGAAACTTATATATAACGCGAACAAACGGACGGAAAAGATTTCGCTAAGGTATTTAAAGATTTAATACTGATCGTTAAAATCAAATAAACTTACAATTGTTCATGTTCAACAAATTATTAAATGAACTTGAGGTGAGGCTTATTGTTGCCAGTGGTAATAAAACAAAGAGAAAATTCTTTTAAAAGAAGAGAACTTTAAGTATGTATAAAGAAGAAAAATGCCTAATGTTGACAGAAAAAATTAATTTATGCCGAAACAGAATGAGTTCATGAGTCTGTGGCAGCAAATTCATAATATCATATCTGAAATTATTACGAGTAAAGATGAACAAATTATTAAATTGCAAATTATATTTCTTCTCCTTGAAACAAATAAGTATTAATTCTTACACGGAGAGAATTTTCTCTTAAAATTTATCTTGAAAATCATGTGATCGTGGGACAACATAGCATTTTGAAGAACTTTATGAGAGTTGTTTGAACATTTACCATACATGTTACTAATAAAATATATAGTAAGTATAATAACTAGTGAAATGTATGGTAAAATTTCCATAAACTGTCATAAAATTCTTTGAAATGCCATGTTGTCCCACGATTGCAATAGTTTTATGATAAATCTTAAAAGAAAATTCTCTCCGTGTAGATGTCCTTATCAATGTGCGGAAAAAATATCGTATTCGCGTATATTAATTTATCATGTGTCTTATCCTGCGCGAGGTTTATTTGCAAAAAATTAATTAACAGGATAAGGTTGAAAACATCCGCAAATATATAATATTAATGCACGTACAACTATCAGAAACGTTAGGTTCCGCGATCGATTTCACATTCAACCAATATTGATATTAGATTGGTTATTCATACTGCTTTAGCATACAACTGTTCAAAGGTAGCGACATTATGCGCGCCGATATAGAGCTTACATGTACAGAGCAAATTATCGAATAATATTGTATTTAATTATTAAAGAAACTGCATCGTAATTTCTATTCACACTGTCGATTAAAAGCTGTCGTATAAATATCTAAGCCACATACAGCGGAGTTAATAATGCTAAACCGCGTGCTTATACACACATTAGTATTCGAATATACATATGGGAGTTGAATGTCGTGCGCCTAAGATATTATTCATACTAATATCCACAACAGCTGATTTATGGTAGTACAATTACCAACCACAATATGTTGCAGAAACGAAAAATATTATAGTAACTAATAAAACACTACTTATTTTCAAACGTTGCTAATAGAGAGCCACGTGAAACTCAAATAGTGAATTTCTTAGTCCTATAATGAATTAGATAATTATGTTATTATTTTTACCCTCTCGTTTATTTGAAATAAATTAAAGTTAAATTAAGTTAGATGAATCAATAATTCATTCTTTTCAAAATTATTATTTTAACATTAAAATTAAAGTTTTTTTTCTTATTTGATTG